GGCATATTTCCAAGAACTTCACAGGACCTTTAACCTATTAGGTTTCAAGAACTAACAACAGACAGATTTTCAGCATTTGTTAATCTATTATTCTAATTGTTATTGAAATTAATTATCTTAAATTAAAATATTTTAATACAAATATTATTGGTATGGTTAAATATATCAAATATTTCTATATATTTTTATCGTCCTTCAGAGGTAATAATCTTATTAACATTAAATGTCGGTACCAATATCCTTGTGGTAGTGAAATCTGGACTTTACTCGAACTATGTTAAGCTGCTTTGGTAGCACAATCGCCTCACAGCAAGGAGGTTACTGGTTCGAGCCTTGGCTGGGTCAATTGGCATTTATGTGTGATGTTTGCATGTTCTCCCCGTGTTAGCATGGAATTCCTCAGGGTGCTCTGGTCCCAACCAAATGGCTAAATATCAACTTTAATATAAACGACCCTGGGAGTAAGTATATATATATATATATATATATATATATATATATAATATTTTTTATGAATTGTTATTATTCTTTTTATTTTTGGCGATAATAGAAATTATAAAACATGTTTTAGAATTTTACAATGAGCCTAAATGCTTTTAATGTGTTATTTACCATTACAGTTGTTCATATCTAATGCATTAATATTTATAAATGTATTATTATGTCATTGATATTTATTACTAATATTAAAAGTCTATTATATATTAAGAGGTAATTGTTTCTCCTTTATATTAGGGCTGCACAATTTATCATTTCAGCATCGATATCGCAATGTGTGCATCTGCAATAGTCACATTGCAAAGATGAGCAATGTTGAGTCTGGATTAAAGTCAAGGAGGAGAAACAAAATTTTATTTATTTACTGAATTTATATGGAATTAATATGATATATGCAAAAAAAAAAAAGTGAATTTCAGTCTTGTTTGTTGTCTTGTTTTGTACTGTACCTCACTGGCAGATATTTTTGCTTGCTTTAATAAAAAAAAAAAATTTCAATTATATAAAAAAACAATATTTTTAATTGATCTAAGATTTTAATGATATTGAGACTGGAAACGAGACATGGTGAGAAAAGCATTGTTTGCATCGTGATTATTAATTTTCTGTACCTCATTGAACTTTAGGCATGGGACGATTACTGTTTTTAAGGTATACCGCAGTTTGGAAGATTTTAAAACCACCAAAATTTTCTATAATACTGTTCCTATATAGTGTGTACGTTTTTTTCTTTTTTTTTTTTTCTTTTTTAGGACCACAGTATCACCAGCAGAAAAGATCTTTCAAATATGTCGTTTTAAATTGTAAATAAATCTGTTTTTGAAACTATTGCATAAAGCAGAAGTCAATGATTGATTTCAATTATTCAGCCTGACATGTTTACTGCTCCAAAATATTTAAAATGTTACTCAAAATAAAATATATATTGTGTTCAAAGAGGAAACAAATTTTAGTTTTTTACCCAGACATTTAAAAAGAACATATTTTAGAGCAGTAATCACTGTGAAACCATGATATTTTTATCCAAGGTTATCATACCATTAGAATAATACTGTCCCATGCCTATTGGACTCCCCAGAAAACCATCAAAAAGAGCTATTTAAACTATCTTGTGAAACTGTATTAATATCACAAAATTTATTGCAGAAAAATAACATTTCTCAAAATTATTTTTTTCCAATATTGTGCAGCCCTACTTTGTATTATGTTAATAATGTGTTACTATGTATAATAAACCATATTATAAATATAATTATCAATAAACTTAAATAACAGATCTGTTAGTTTATACCTAATGTTTTAAGTAATGTTAATTTACAACTTTAACGTCTCTATAAGTACAAGAAATACTGTGCTTGTATCTGTTCAGGATTTAAAAGTCATGCAGAGTTTGTGCTTTAAACTCGTTTAAACATAAAGAAATTAATTTCGTAGAAAGAGATGAGCCAACATGTACTATCATAATAGATGGTACACATACAGTAGCTTCATTAAGCATTCACTGAAGCCAGAACACAAGTGAACTCTCTTAAATAACTGATGCATTGCTATGTAGGTTTGAGTTTATGAGGTCTTCAGTGATTAACTTAATCCCACAGCCTAATTCCAGACTGTAACAGAGTAGATCCAAAATCTAAACATAGAACCTTAAATGAACTAATCAGTAAACACAGCTTCAGATGATCAAATATTTAAACCTCATGAGCCTTTAAAGGCCTTGATAACACAAACCAAATGATAGTTTATCGCAATATTTTTTGGAAAACTTAAAGGGATTGTTCACTTAAAAAAAATGCAATCCCAAATATAATAAAGTGGTTTTATATTATTGAATTTTCCTTTTTTTCCCTGTTGAACACAAAAGAAGATATTTGGCAGAATGTCACAAACCTGTAATCCTCGACTTCCATGGTAGGAAAAACAACTACCATTTTGGTTAATGGTTACAGGCTTCAAACAATTTTCAAAACAACTTCCTTTGTGCTCAACCAAATAGCCTCAATCAGATTTGTGAGGGTGAGTAAATGATTAGCCTTTTTGTTATTGGGTGAATTATCCCTTTAAGATTTTTCTGAATAAAAACTGTAATCCAAGCCAACATGGCTTCCTGCCCTGAATTTGAGCAATTGGAGGCTTATTCATCACTACTTTGCAGGCCTACAGTTAAGCTAATAAGATAACATTAATCATGTACAGGCCCGTATCCAGGGGGGTTCGGGTGGTTTGAAAGACCCAGCCCTTAATGACAAAAATCCAGAATTTGTCCCATACAAGAGCTCATTTGTCCTATTTTAGCTGCTACACCATCATAAATTGTTAAAATAACCCAGTGGAATATCTAATTGTTAATTATTAATTCCTCAAATTCAACTCAGAGCTTTTTTGGCCAGGAGGCCTGGGTTAAACACTACTCTTTTGCGAAGAACATCCTGGGATTCTTTAACAACCAAAGAGAGTCAGGACCTCAGTTTAACATCTCATCCGAAAGACGGCGCTCACTGAGCAGTATAGAGTCTCAGTCACTATACTGGGGCATTAGGACCCACACAGACCACATGTTGGGCGCACCCTGCTGGTCTCACTAACTCAACTTCCGGCATCAACCTTTCCCATGTGGTCTCCCATTCAGTGCACTGACCAGGCTCAGCCCTGCTTAGCGGACAACCATGTGAGAGTTGCAGAGAGCTAGCTGCCAGCTAATCAGTTTTGGCTTATGCAAACTATTCTTTTTCATGATTCCAACATCCAGCAGTGCAAGAAAACATATAATTGAATGTAAGTGAAGTAATCTTTCGCTATTGTATTGTTTTTTAAAAGAGAAAACATTTTACAAGTAAATTTTATTCTACGTCTTGGACCTATTCTTGAAACGAAAAATGACTGATAAAAGGTGTGAAGCACCGGAAGCGGACCATGATCAAATTAATATAATATGAATACTAATTTGGCTGTTTTTGTTATCCAAGAATTTTCATTCAAATGTAGTTTTTTTTTTTAAAAGAGAGGCTAGAAAAAGCATGAAGCTCCTTTATTATTATTATTAAGTTTACATTTTTTATTATAAAAATAGCCAAATTCTGACCAGGAAAAAGTTGAATGTGCTGGCCAGTTTGTTTTTTGCCTAATATATTATTCATATATTTTTCTAATGATATATAAAATTTGCAATTTAAAAATAAGTTATTTATTTTTCTCTATTCTAAATCTTTAAAAAATATTTTGGTACATGGTGGCGCATGGTGGTGCAGTGCAAAGCATGATCGCCTCACAGCAAGAAGGTCGCTGATTCATGCCAGTGAATCAGTTGGCATTTCTGTGCGGAGTTTGCATGTTCTCCCCATGTTCCCCATGGGTTTCATCTGGGTGCTCCGGTTTCCCCCACAGTCCAAAGACATGCCTATAATAAACGCGGACATGACTAAAGATGTGCGCTATAGGTGAATTGAATCAGCTAAATTGGCCGTAGTGTATGTGTGTGAATGCAAGGGTGTATGGGTGTTTCCCAGTGTTGGGTTGCGGCTGGAAGGGTATCCGCTGCGTAAAACATATGCTGGCTAAGTTGGCGGTTCATTCTGCTGTGGCGACCCCTGAATAATAAAGGGACTAAGCCGACAGGAAAATGAAAGAACTGTGGTTATGATGACCACTCAACAAGCTAATTCAGCTAAAAAGAAAAGGTCACTAAAATGCAGTATTCCAATCGCATAATTAAACAGAAAATGAGGCATATAACTGCAAAAAGGTCCATATTTTTAGTTATATGAACCACCTCTTTCACCAGGTTTGCTACAGGCCAGTGATATTTTATGTGCGTTCGCTGAGAAGCTGGACAGTAAACGGTTTATATGAGCATGTAATTGATCTGCGATTACAAATTCATTCTGCAACTCTCGCAAAATGGCGTCCAGGAGCACAGTGAGCTGCTGTCATCATATCTCCGAGAGCACGCGCACACACCTGCGCATCACCGCATCCACAGACTGACATCGAGGGATAAACACGATCAAACACTTCAAAATCACTTGAAGAAACACCACAGTGAGCATGTAAATCAGTTACTGATACAATCTGTTGGATTTCAATACGAATTATCCCTTATTATTAAAAGAAAAACACGATTGTCAGTGGCTTTAGTGGGTGCCTTCGTTAGCTAAGAGAACAGACACAGTTTTTTCCAGATTTTTGTATCAACTGCAGTATGGGATGTGCTATTTAAAATATATATTCTTCAAAAGGGTAAAATAGGCTACATAAAACATTACAATACGACAAAGGTGTTTTCAGTGGAAAGGCGATCCTCCATTATTGATTGGACATTGATTAAGGGTCTGGTCTAATTCCATGAAGAATGGATGAATAAGGCACGCAAAGGAAAATGTTTGCTTCTGATACTTCATGCTTCAATATTTGATCATCCTGAGTGCTTTTTATATTCAATATAAACCAGTGTTGCTTTTACAGGCCTGTTATAATCTGCCATAATGAATGAGCATCTCTCTCACCAGGCTCGTGTATCCCGGGATTGTCGCTCATCTCCAGCACGAGCAGCTCGCGACCCTCAAAGCTCTCTCCTACAGTGTAGATGCGGGTGATGGATGGACACTGCAGCCACACAGATACTAACGATTTTCTCATTTCCTCATAGCGGTGGTACTCAAAGGAAATTCCGTTTTCGCCCTCAGCCTCTTTTACCGAGGACAGTGCGAGCATCAACACAGCCCCGCAAAACACCGCCGCCCTCATCGCTCTCCAGACACTCGGCGCTTATCTGCCTGTCGCGTATTTCTCGTCTGTGTCTTTTGGTACTGATGTCCGTCCTGTTTTCTGCGCTGTCCGCTTCTTTCTCTCGTTTCTGTTCTGTGTCGTGACGTGATGCGTGCGTCTGCGCGAGTCCTGACTACCTGTTTAGCCGCAGGGGCGCGAGTGAGATTGTGCTCACATTATACAGCAGGGGCGTGGCTTATGACAAGACGAACGGGTCACATATATTTGTGAGCGATTTACATTGTCCTTACGTAAAAAATACCTTTGACAGTGACCTGAGAAGACTACCATGCATAAAAGTATTGTAGTAGGTTGATATTTAAAAAAAATGTTTAAAAGTAAAAACTACATTACCGTATACATTAACACAGCTGATTAATGTTGAATAGTTGGGTTAAAAACTACATTTAAAACATTTTGAAAAATGTATTAGTTTAAAAATTCTACAGAACGTATTTTATTATCTCATTTTATTTATTATATATTTTTAAATTATATGGTGTTTAAAATAGTGCATACATTCAAACACACACACTCATACACTACAGTCAATTTTAGTCTATACCCAGTTGACCGTACCGCATGTCTTTGGACTGTGGGGGAAACCGGAGCACCCGGAGGAAACCCACATGAACACGAGGAGAATATGCAAACACCACACAGAAACGCCAACTGATCTGAGGCTCGAAACAGCAACTTTGCTGTGAGGTGAACGTGCCACCGTGTCGCCTGTACTGTTACACAACATGTAATGGGCAAGATGAAACTAATCAACAACCTCATGAAGAGAGAGAGAGAGAGAGAGAGAGAGAGAGAGAGAGAGAGAGAGAGAGAGTGTGTGTGTGTGTGTGTGTGTGTGTATAGTGCTCAACATAAATGCGCACACCCCTTACAAGTCTTTTAAATGAATATGTTTTTTATTTGCTGCTATATAGGCTATAATAATGTGTTTTGTGCATATACATTAGTCAGTACCAAAGACAAAGCTGGAGCTAATTTAACAAAAATCTAGGATCACAATGCAAAAAGTAGACCCATATGAATATGTTGGGGAAAATATTCAATGAAATGTTTATCAGTAAAGAGAGGCTTTTTTTTGTTGCCTTTTTTCTTGCAATAACTTGTTTGAATGTGAGATGTTAGGTGACCAAATTCTTGATTTAATCGATTGAACTGTTTTGTTTCAATGCACTTAAATATATTATTTATAATCATTAAGAAATTGATCAAAATATTCATTTTCAAAAGGGAATGCACTCATTTATGCTGATATACATACAGTCAAGCCCGAAATTATTCATACCCCTAGAAAATTCGGACTTAAAGATACTTTTATTCAATCAGCAAGTTTTTTTTGTTTTGTTTTTTTTTTTTGACTGGAAATGACAGGCTTCTACGGTTCTACCAAATGATAAGACAATGTTCAATTAGGAATGAACATTTGAACAATTCTATCATTGTGGGAAAATATATATATTTATTTATTTACATTTGAACAAAAAGTGCTCATGTTCAAAATTATTCACACCCTCAATAATCAACAGAAAAAATTGTATTGTTTGTTTACAGCAATCAAACTCTTCCTATAATTGCTGACCAGCTTTTTACATGTCTCCAGTTGTATTTTTGTCTTTTCATCTTTAGAGATGAGCTCAACTATTTCCAGGGCTCAATTTGAGCCGAAACACGCCGGATCTGATCCAGCACCTCATTTTACCGATCCCCCTCCTCAACCGCCCTCCTCCCCCCTCCGCTGTTCACTTTCACTTTTTTTCTACGTCTCCCCAACCCTCTTTACTTTCGTCGCGACAAAGCCCCGCTCTTCACTTTAGTTCTACGTCCACGACACCTGAAGCATCTCCTTGCTATCACCCTGATCTTTAACTCTCTCCACAGATTCTCAATTGGGTTTAAGTCAGGACTCTGGCTGAGCCACTGCAAAGTATTAAGGATTTTGTCTGCTAACCTTTTCTATACCACCTTTGCTGTGTGTTTGGGTCATTGTCGTACTGAAATGTCCACTGGCCATGTTTCTCTGTAGGCTGTCTGATGTTGTTATTGAGAATTTTGAGGCATTGCTCCTTTTTTATGGTACCATTTACTTAGATTCCGTGGTCCACTGGCTGAAAAAACCCACCAAAATAGTTTTCATGTTTTACACCTACATGTTTGACAGTGGAGAATGCTGTTATTACACTAAAAAATCCAACTTGAAAAAAGTTAAAATTATTTGTTGTTGTTTTTTTTTTTGTTGTTGTTGGTTGGGCAAAATCTGTAAAAATGTCTGCACGACTACATTTAACACGTTTACTTAACCTAAATTAAACTTTTCTTCATTAAGTTAAAAAGATTCGTTTTGTGAGCAAAACCATGCAAGTTTACCCAAAAAAAGCTTCTGCTAACTTGTTACTTTAAGTTTAATCTCAGACCTCCTCACTTGAAAAAAAAAAGGTTGCAGTATTTCTAACCCTAACAAAAATGACAAAAAAATAACAGTAACACCATTAATAATAACAACAACCAATTGAGAAATCAAATGCTCAAATGATCGAATAATGAATCAAAATGCATTCTCAGATGAGAAATCAAATGTATTTGATATTTATATTCCATAAACAACAAAGCAAAATCCTGTAGTAATTAAATGACAAATCAAATGCTTAAACTATAATCCAGATGGAGGAACTAGTTTCACAGCTGGAAGCTTATGATGGACTGATTTCTAGGAATATAAAGACACCTCATTCACACAGACTCTTTGCTGAGTCTTGTTTTCCCTGTGAATCATTATGAAGTAGGTTTTCTTGTTTGTCCTGCCATGTTTTGATCCTTGTCTTACTGTTATTGTAAGTATTGTTATTGTAATTCTGTGTCTAATAAATGTTTTGTATAGTTGTATCTGTTTTGTTTCTGTCAATTGAACTATGTTAGTTTGTTCTGATAATGTATTATTTCTTAGTTCCAATTTCCAAAGTTTTTTTGTTCATTGAACTTAGGGTATTTTAAGTCAGTGCAACTGATGTGTTTAAAAATTGAATACACAAGAAAAAACAAAAGGAAATAAGGAGTATGTATTTTTTTTTTTTGTTCACTCAATTTCAGGCATTCCAATTCTGCACACAAAAAATGTACAGTTGGCACAACCTAAAAACTTTTGTTACAGAGTAGTTCACCTCTTTCACCAGAAAACTAATAATCTTATGTTAACCCAACTAAATGTTTTTTTGTATTACTGACAAATTATTTGAGGTCAGCGCAGCTGATGTTTTCAAAAATTGAGTGAACAAGAAAAAGTGAATGGAAATAAGGATTATGTTTTTGTTGTACTGGCTTTAAATTTTTACAGTGTACGGTTGAAGGCTTTTCCTTTTTTACGCCAAATTAAGGCTACATCATTGTGGCCAAACAATCTTTATTTCATCTGACCATAAAACAGAATACCAGAAGTCTTCTTTGTTTAAATGGGCATTTGCAAAGGCCAAGCGGACCTTTGTGTGCCTTCTCTGGGGAAGTGGTGTCCTCCTTGGTTTGTGGCAGACTAGTAAAACCCAGCGGTGTGCAGTGTCCGTTGGACTTTCTGCCTTGAGATGCTGCCATCAGCAGAGCCCAGATTCATTGGGATGGCCTTGGTGGTGATCCTTGAATTCTTTTTTCACAGTGCCAAACTTTCTTTTCCTTTTCTACTTGTTCTTTTTTTACCCCTCTCATTATCCTCCAGGCCAGGACACGTGTCCCTTTCAACTTCTGACCACACCCTTTGAGATTTTTCGCAGTGTCAAACTTTTTATAGAACTTTGGATTTACCCATAGACTGTGATCGTTTGCAAAGTTGTGAATAATTTTGGACATGCCACTTTTTGTTTAAAGATAAATAAAATCTGAGAAATATTTTTTTTCACAATGATGTCAATTCTACATTGTCTTGTCTTAGCCTGAGCCTGTGTCATTTCCAGCCCGTCGAGGCTTGTGTCAAATTCAAATAATTGATGTTTGTTACAGGACAGCCATTGGCACTGCACCTTCTCCTAAAGGCCTACATTGCCTCCAGTTGGTGAATGAGTGCCGCCTTATGGTGCATTCACAGAGAGGCTAGAAGTTGCTTTCCAGAACCTTCTCATTCAATGTTCGCTGAATTTCTCAATTGTACGTCTCTTTGAACAAAAGTGTCTGCTATATGACTAAATGTAAATGCATTTACATACACTGTTAAAACCAGAAGTTTACATACACTGTATAAAAAGACACATAACCATTTAAAAAAGATGTTAATGTGACTAAACTTTTTCTCTTTTAGGTAAGTTAGGATTATCAAATTAGTTTCTTTTACGCTTAATAGCATTAGAGCAATGAGAGACTTACTTTTTGAGAAATTGTTCGAACTTTTCTTAAAAGTCAAGTTTACATACAATAAGATTATTATGCCTCTGAAAAAAAAAAACATATGATGGTGTCAAAGTTTTGGACGTTTTTGGAAGAACATTTGAGTTAATTGGAGGCACAACTGTAAAATAGTATTTAAGGAAAACCTCAAACACACTGCTTCCTTTTGTGACAACATGGGAAAATTAACAAGCCAGAATCAACAAAAAAGTCAGATTACAATTTGCTAAACAACACTGGGAAAAAGATTAATGTTTGGAGACATGTCCTGTGGTCTGATGCAACTGTTTGGCCATAATGACCAGTGTTACATTTGGAGGACAAAGAGAAAAGCTTACAAGCCTAGGAACACCATCCCAACTGTGAAGTATGGGGGTGGTAGCATCATGTTTTGGGGCTGTTTTGCTGCAGGAGGGACATCACGAAGAACGAACATTATGTAGAATACTGAAGCAAAATCTCAATACATCAGCCAGAAAATTAAAACTTGGCCACAAATGGGTCTTCCAAACAGACCATGACCCTTAGCATACTGCCAAATTAGTTAAAATTTGCTTTAAGGACAACAGAGTGAATGATTTGGCGTGGCCATCACAAAGCCCTGATCTCAATCCTATAGAAAATTTGTGGGCAGAGTCGAAAAAGCTTGTGCGAGCAAGACAGCCTACAAATCTGACACTGTTACACCAATTCTGTCAGGACGAATAGGACAAACTTCCTTCAAACTATTGTGAGAAGCTTGT